AGGCTTGTCTCCTCTCTTCATCATCAAACTCTCGGCTCCTCTCAGTTTGTTCTTGTCACGTCTCTTTGCTCTTATTCTCATAAGTTCTCTCTCCTCTCCTCTGTCCTCTCTCCTCCTCTCCTCCTCTCTCCTCTCTCCTCCCCTCTCCCCTATCTCCTCTCTCCTCCTCTCTCCTCCTCTCTCCTCTCTCCTCCTCTCTCCTCTCTCCTCTCTCCTCTCTCCTCCATCTGTTTCCATGGTTACCGTGTCAGCATCCACAGGTGTAATGGAGGAGTCTCTTAGATTAATTATCAAATATAAAAGCAGCAAGTCTCAAACTCTAATTTAAGGAGAACAAAACAGTCACCTGTGAGGAGTGACCTGTTAGGAGTGACCTTTGAGGAGTCACCTGTGAGGAGTCACCTGTGAGGAGTGACCTTTGAGGAGTCACCTGTCAGGAGTCACCTGTGAGGATCACCTGTAAGGAGTGACCTGTCAGGAGTGACCTGTGAGGAGTCACCTGTGAGGAGTCACCTGTGAGGAGTCACCTGTCAGGAGTCACCTGTGAGGAGTCACCTGTGAGGAGTCACCTGTGAGGAGTGACCTGTGAAGAGTCACCTGTGAGGAGTCACCTGTCAGGAGTCACCTGTGAGGAGTCACCTGTGAGGAGTCACCTGTCAGGAGTCAGGAGTCACCTGTCAGGAGTCACCTGTGAGGAATCACCTGTGAGGAGTCACATGTGAGGAGTCACATGTGAGGAGTCACCTGTCAGGAGTCAGGAGTCACCTGTGAGGAGTCACCTGTCAGGAGTCACCTGTCAGGAGTCAGGAGTCACCTGTGAGGAGTCAGGAGTCACATGTGAGGAGTCACCTGTCAGGAGTCAGGAGTCACCTGTGAGGAGTCACCTGTGAGGAGTACCCTGTCAGGAGTGACCTGTGAGGAGTCACCTGTGAGGAGTCACCTGTCAGGAGTCAGGAGTCACCTGTCAGGAGTCACCTGTCAGGAGTCAGCTGTCAGGAGTCAGGAGTCACCTGTGAGGAGTCACCTGTGAGGAGTCAGGAGTGACATGTGAGGAGTCACCTGTGAGGAGTCAGGAGTCACCTGTGAGGAGTCAGGAGTCACCTGTAAAGAGTCACCTGTCAGGAGTCCGGAGTCACCTGTGAGGAGTCACCTGTGAGGAGTCAGGAGTGACATGTGAGGAGTCACCTGTCAGGAGTCAGGAGTCACCTGTGAGGAGTCACCTGTGAGGAGTCAGGAGTGACATGTGAGGAGTCACCTGTGAGGAGTCAGGAGTCACCTGTGAGGAGTCAGGAGTCACCTGTCAGGAGTCACCTGTGATTCTTTTATTTATGAAGAATTCAACTTGAAATGTTTCTTAAATTAGGACAACTTGTTATATACATATGGTGTGTGTGTGTGTGTGTGTGTGTGTGTGTGTGTCTCCTCTCCACTCTTTGATGTTTTTATCCCCCCCACTGTCTCCTCTCCTCCTATGCTTTCCTTTGTTTTTCATTTCCTTTTCATCATTGTCTCCTTTCCTTCCTCAATCCCTACCTTCCTTGTGTCCTCTTCCTTCAGGGTTTATTCTGTGATTTAACATCAGTGCGATGAAGCAGCAGAAACATGGAGGACATTTATTTCAGGTTATATATAGAGAGACAGTGAGAGAAATAAAAACATCAAAATCTTCAATGTGGTTTCAAAAGAGACGTGTCATTGTGGAGGATGAAGAGGAGGATGAAGAGGAGGATGAAGAGGAGGATGAAGAGGAGGAGACATGTGAAGAAGATGAGCAGATTAAGTAGAGGAAGAGCGATGAAGAGATCAAGAGAAGGAATGAGAGGAGGCGAGACGAATTCAGAGAGGATTAAAGTGATTGTTTCCATAAAGAGAGAGCGAGCTTTGAACCTGCAGAGAGAAGGAGATAGAGGGAGAGAGGGAGGGAGAGAGAGGGAGAGAGAGGAGAGAGAGGGAGAGAGAGAGAGGGGGAGAGGAGGAAGAGAGAGGGAGAGGGGGAGAGGAGGGAGAGAGAGGGAGAGGGGGAGAGGAGGGAGAGAGAGGGAGAGAGAGAGTGAGGGTGGGAGGAGGGAGAGAGAGGGGAGAGCGAGAAAGAGAGCAAGAGATGGAGATTTTAGATTGCTAATGATGAAATAACTCCTTGTTACTTCATCATTAGCAAACAAACAAAAATCAACTAACTCTCAACAATAAAAACACATTTGGGGCGCTGGTGGCTCAGTGGTTAGTGCCGGCCTCCCATGTATAGAGGCTGTAGTCCTCCAAGCGGGCAGCCAGCGTTGGAATCCAACCTGTGGCTCCTTTCCCGCATGTCATTACCTAGTCTCTTTCTCTCTGATTTCTTTCTCTATCCACTCTCTCATCTCTACAATAAAGACACAAAAACTACCAAAAATAAAATCTTTTAATAAAAACACATTGATATAAAATAAAAAATGGCAGAGCACAGAGAATCTTGACTTTGTCTACTGTCAGCTGATACCAAACATGAATTGATCAGCTGAAAATGACGCTTTATTGTGAAATACAAAACATGGTGTGGACCTCCTGTTGACATTTCATCACGATGTAAATGGACTTTTTTGTGGGTCTTGGCATGGTTAACCAAGTTCAGACTCTATGGCTGTTTTCGAAACCGCATACTACATACTACTATCTAAATCAGTATGCAGTATATACTGTATACTGCATACTGAGTTCAACAGTAGTATGTAGTATGACTGCCAGTCGTCAGTTATTTTGCATTCTGCTTGGTCCCGGTTAAACTGGTTTTACTCAGCTGTGAATAATTTGTAGTAATAGAGCAAGCCAAGGACCCTGTAATTGCAGCTGCTTGTCCAGCTGTGGCACATGCACTGTACAGTCTACAAAGCAGGAAAATCCGAGGTGGTAAGACTTACAAATATATGAACATGTCATATTTGTTATTGGTTCATAATGTGGCAAGATATTCAGTCACCGCCACCAACGAGTTCATACAGCTGCGCTCCGGCATTTTGATCTCTGACCTGGCACTTTGCATTGTGGGAAACAGTACGCGAGGTAGACTGGTCCGATGCATACTGTACAATTTTCCCGAATCAGTATGACATCCTGGTATTTTTGGCATACTGCAGATCTCGCAGTTGTTCACATACTGCATATTGCATACTGCATTTTGGCCAAATCAGTACGTTCTAGTAGTATAGTATGCGGTTTCGAAAACAGCCTATGTACTACGGGTGAGCGTATTGCATCACTTCCTGTTCTGTGTTGCTCAGTGCTGATCGTTAGAGCTAAAAGCTTCATTGTTCATTTTGCCTAGTTTCTTACGACTGTTGTTTCCAACACACTGTACGTTCAGACAAACAGAAGTAATCGAAAAGCACTCTTTCTCTCTTGCGACAAACCTGCTTAACAGTTGTTTATTTTAGCTAGGGTTAGGGTTAACCAACTTAACCTATTCTTAGCCTAGCTTAGTAGTTAGCTTATTTTTCTGTCTCTCCCTCTCCTGCTCTCTCCTGCTCTACGTGTCAGATGTTAAGTTACTCCTCGTCCTCCTTTAGTGATAATGATACATGTAAGAAATGTAGTTTATTTTTAGCTTTGGAGGCGAGGGTTTCTGAGTTAGAGAGACGGCTCCGCACCATTGAGTCAGAGTCATCATATGCAGCAGTAGTTAGCCAGCCACCTGTAGCCGGTGTGGGCTGACATAGCTTGGCTTCCCCCCGGTAGCTGGAGGCAGTGGCTGGGTTACTGTCCGAGGGAAGCATAGTTGAAAATCGAAGCACACATTTCCCCACCAACCACTTCATGTTTCAAACAAATTTTCCCCACTCAGCGACACACAGAATAAAACTCTGATTATTGGAGACTCCATAGTCCAAAATGTGAAGCTAGCGAAGTCAGCGGGCATAGTTAGGTGTATACCCGGGGCCAGAGCGGGCGACATCGCATCTCATTTAAAGTTGCTGACAAAGACTAAAGGTAGATTTGATACAATCGTAATTCATGCTGGCACGAATGACTCTCGACTATGTGGAGTTGGTGTGTACTTTTGCTAAGACGATGTCGGACTCCGTAGTGTTCTCTGGACCCCTCCCAAATCAGACCAGTGATGACATGTATAGCTGCATGTCATCACTCAACCGCTGGCTGTCGAGGTGGTGTCCCGCAAACGATGTGGGCTTCATAGATAACTGGCAGTCTTTTTGGGGAAAACCTGGTCTGCTAGCTAGAGACGGCATCCATCCTTTGGACGGTGCAGCTCTATTATCTAGAAACATAGCAGAGGTTATAAGTCCAAAACCTTGACAACATCACAGAGTTCAGACCAGAGGCAGAGCTGCAGTCTTACACACTTCTCTGTGCCTCCCTTAGATCTGTCTCCCAGTCACTATAGCTGTAATTCTGAATCGAACTGTAATTATAATATAGGTACTGTGTCTGTCCCCCGGTCCAGACCCGTTTTTATAAGTCATCCAAATGTAGAAAAAAAGGTGTAAATCGTCAAAATCTCATTGGAATCAAAACTACGAATACGATTTTGCAAAAAAATCAGAAAATTCACTGCAGACTTTTGAACATTAAGTCCTTAGCATCCAAATCTCTTTTAGGGAATGATCTGATATCAGATCAGCATATTTATTTACTTTGTTTGACTGAAACCTGGCTGTGTCGAGATGAATATGTTAGTTTAAATGAATCCACTCCTCCCAGTCATTTTAGTACTCATATACCTCGAGACACCGGACGAGGTGGTGGAGTAGCAGCTATTTTTAATTCTAGTCTTCTAGTTAACCCTCAACCAAAGCTGAATTTTTCTTCTTTTGAAAGAATTGTTCTTAGTCTTTCACATCCAGTCTCAAGGACCTTTCAGCCAGTTCTAGTTGTTGTAGTTTATTGCCCTTCTGGCCCATATTCTGAATTTCTATCTGAATTTGCAGAATTTTTATCAAATGTAGTCCTTAGCAGTGATAAAATAATTGTTGTAGGTGACTTCAAGTAACTGTGTTTTCCTGCAGGTCTGAGGTCAGAGAAGGCGGCCCCATCAGTGGACAGAGATGATGTCCATGCAGAGTAAGACATTTATTCACTGTTTGTATTCACTTTTTATAAACATCTCATTTTCTCAAAAAGTTGGGACATTGTGTACATTTTTAATAACAAATTGATGATTACAATCAAAACAAATCTAGATGAAAATAGTCACAAAAACACATCACGAGATTTCTGTATTGTTTTTTTTATATATATACCAAATATGAATTTGAAGCCAGCAACATGCATCAGAAAAGTTGGGACCTCTCTGTTGCGTCACTTTTCCTTTTAACAACACTCTGTGTGTTTGTGAACTGAGGAGACCAATTTGAGTCATTTTAAAGCTGATTTGTCAGATTTCGGCTGTTCAGCAGTTCAGGGTCTCCTTTGTCTTATGGTTCATAATAAACATAAACAAATATTTTTAAGGAATGACGAGTCAGGACTGCAGGTTCCACAGTTTATCGCATGGACTCTTTGACTACAGAGACATGCTGCTGTAATACTGGCCGAATGTGGTCTAATATCTTCTTGATCCAAAAAAAGGCCTCCCCTGATAAAGAAGTTGTCTGTTTGGCAGCACATGTTGCTCCTAAACCTGTTTATATGGTTCAGCACTAATGGAACCTTCACAAATGTGCAGGTTACCCATGCCATGTGCACTAAAGCACCTCCATACCAACATGATGCTGACTGAACTGAGCGCTCATTAAAAACAGGTCACTTTAGCCCCACAGGACGAAGCATATATTATTTCCAAACAGGAAGTCAAATTTGGACTCATCAGACCTCAGGATGGTTTTCTACTTCACCTCAGTCTATCCTCAATGATCTTGTGCCCAGAGAAGCTGGCAGCATCTCTGGATCGGGTATACATACAGTTTCCTTGTTGCATGGTAGAGTTTCAGATAACAGTGAATGCAGGGATTCAAAGATTCTGTAGGTGAAAGCATTTGTAGCAGTATTTATTGTAGTGTTCCTGTAGTATTTGACCAAGTATTCGATGTTGTTGCAGTGAGTGAGGCAGACAGCGTGGTTAAGGTTGCTGAGTGGCAGCAGACTTACTACTCATCAGATTCAGGGATTCAGTCCGGAGCGACGACAGTCCGTGACGACGAGAGCAGCACTGACTACAGTGGGCGTAAGAAGTACACATCTACAAACAGTACCACAGGTGGACCTGCTGCTGCGACCGCGGGGGGTGGAGACTCAGCAGGGGGCGGAGCAGAGAGCCCCACAGGTGAGATTTCCTGTCTGTCTGTTTCTAACTCTGGTTTTAGTCTTCATCTGTTATTCATCAGATTTTTGGATTCATTTATCTTTTTTCTTTGTCTTCCATTAACTAATGGACCACAAAACGCATTCAGAGACACCCCCCCCCATATCAACAACATCATCCTTCCTTACTGATTTCATTACATTATTACATAACATATTTTAAATAGTTCAGTCATACCTGAGTGATCTGAATTAATCTTTTATTAATTTATTTGGAGGTTCAGGATTATGTCTTAACACCAGATACCAGACCAGCTCATACCAGTTCATACCAGATATCTTCTAGTTAACATACTAGATATCTTCTAGTTAACATACAAGATATCAGAACAGTTTATATACCAGTTCATACCAGTTTATATGAGACAGTATGACACACACACAAATCAATAACTTAATAGTTTTCCCAGAATATCCTCGTCTATCAGATAATTTTCTAATAACTTTTGACTTTTTCTAACCAGCATTAACTCTGCTTAATAAAAATGTGCTCTCCAGAAGTTTATCTGATAGTGCTGTAGCTAGATTTAAGGAAGCTATTTCAGCTGCTTTTGATTCACTACCATGTTTAAACCCAATTGGAAACTCTTGTGATAGCTTTAGTCCCTCTCAGCTAGATCAGTTTGTTGATAGTGCAGTGGATTCGCTGAGACTTACTCTTGATTCGATTGCCCCCCTAAAACAGAAGGTTATCAAACGGCAGAGACTAGCTTCATGGTTCAACTCAGAAACCTGTACTCTAAAACAAACGTCGCAAAATTTTGAAAGAATATGGCGCTCTACCAAAACGGTAGAGTCTTGTTTATTTTGGCAGGATAGTCATAGAAAATATATGAAGGCTCTACGTCACGCTCAAGCTACCTACTACTCTTCTCTAATTGAGGAAAACAAAAGCAATTCTAGATACCTTTTCAGCACTGTAGCCAGGCTGACAGAGAGTCATAGCTCCATTGAGCCTTGTATTCCTTTAGCCCTCAGCAGTAATGATTTCCTGAGCTTTTTCAACAACAAAATTTAGACATCAGAGACAAAATTGGTAACCTCCTGCCCTTACCTGGTGCAGATACGTCTGATATGGCAGAGACAGTTCCAGGACCTGATATTAATCTAGACAGTTTTTCTCCAATCAACCTTTCAGAACTAAATTCAATTATTTCTGCGTCGAAACCGTCAACCTGTCTTTTAGACCCAATCCCGACCAAGCTGTTTAAGGAAGTCTTTCCCTTGGTTAGCAACTCTATATTAGATATGATCAATATGTGTTTACTGGCAGGCTATGTACCACAGTCATTTAAAGTAGCGGTAATCAAACCTCTACTCAAAAAACCTACTCTAGATTCAGGAACTCTAGCTAACTATATGACTATATCCAACCTTCCTTTTATCTCAAAAATCCTGGAGAAAGTGGTAGCTAATAAGCTGTGTGACTTTCTCCATGACAACAGTTTATTTGAGGAGTTTCAGTCAGGATTTAGAGTCCACCATAGCACTGAGACTGCACTAGTTAAAGTTACAAACGATTTACTTCTAGCTTCAGACAGGGGACTTCTCTCTGTGTTCGTCTTGTTGGATCTTAGTGCTGCTTTTGACACTATTGACCATCAAATCCTATTGCACAGACTAGAACATTTACTTGGAATTACAGGGACTGCTTTAAGTTGGTTTGAATCCTACTTATCAGACCGATCTCAGTTTGTACATGCTAATGATAAGTCCTCTATGCACACCAAAGTTAGCCATGGAGTGCCACAAGGTTGGACCAATTCTCTTTACATTATATATGCTTCCTCTGGGTAATATTATGAGGAAACACTCCATACAGTTTCATTGTTATGCAGATGATTCTCAGCTTTATGTATCAATGAAGCCCGATGGAACCAGTCAGTTATGTAAGCTAGAAACGTGCCTTAAGGACGTTAGGACGTAGATGACCAGAAATGTTTTGCTACTTAACTCAGAGAAGACTGAAGTTATTGTGCTAGGCCCTAAAAACCTCAGAGAGACTTTTTCTAATGATATGACCTTAATGACATCAGCCTGGTATCTAGCACCACTGTTAAGAATCTAGGAGTTCTATTTGATATCAAGGTATGTCCTGGGTTAGGGGTTAACTCTAACTCTCACATCAAACAATTGACCCTAACTGCCTATTTTCACCTTCGTAATATATCTAAAATCAGGCATATCCTGTCGCAAAATGATGCAGAAAAACTAGTTTACGTATTTACGCTAACCCTAACCCGTTACCTCCAGGTTGGATTATTGTAATTCTCTTTTGTCAGGGTACTCTGGTAAATTTCTAAAGACTCTTCAAGTAGTCCAAAAAGCTGCAGCTCATGTACTGACTAGAACTAGGAAAAGGAACCACATCCTGTGTTGGCTTCTCTGCACTGGCTCCCTATACAATCTAGAATAGAATTTACAATCCTTCTTCTCACTTACAAAGCTCTAAATGGCCAGGCACCATCTTATCTTAAGGAGCTACTAGTGCCGTACTACCCTTCGAGAACAATACAGTCCCAGAATGCGGGCCTGCTAGTGGTACCTGCAGTCTCTAAATGTACTATGGGAGGTAGAGCCTTCAGTTACATACAAATATACAAATAAAGATTGATTGATTGACATACACAAAGACACACACACACACACACACACACACACACACACACACACACACACACACACTGGCTGTGGCTCAGAGGTAGAGCGGGTCGTCCATAGTTGTAGGGTTGATGGATCGATTCCCTGCTCCTGCTGTTAAAGCACAGAAACATAATTTGATCGTTTTCATCATCTTCACTTTGAATCTAATCTTTGTTGATTTTCCATTTACAGATTTAGACGCTCAGTTCTCGCTCACGCGGGCTCAGCGTGTCCGAGCCGCCATGTTTCCAGAGACCCTGGTGGAGGGGGAAGCAGCCATGCCCATCCAATCAGATCCCACACAGCAGAGCAATGTGCAGCGATTGGCTGAACCCTCCCAGCTGTTAAAGACTGCAATCGTCCACCTGATAAACTACCAGGATGATGCCGAGCTTGCCACCAGGGCGGTGCCAGAGCTCACCAAGCTGCTGGGAGACGACGACCCGGTAAAATCACGCCAAATCAATATAGATAATGAATCATTCAAATTAATAATTTAGACGAAGAGTTGATATTGAGACTCACCTGGTTCAGATATTTTAGAACCTTGTGTGTGTAAATTGCAGTTCTTCTTCTCATGAAGAGACACAAGTTGAAGACTTGTTGCTTTATCTGTCTTTAGAAGTTTTATAACGTAACGACTTGTTTTATGGATGTTTTTCTGGTCACATGACTCTTTCTTTTTCTCTGCAGCTTGTGGTGAACAAGGCCGCCATGATTGTCAATCAGCTGACTCGCAAAGAGGCCAGTCGCCGTGTGTTGGTCCAGTCTCCCTCTATGGTGGGCGCCGTGGTGCGGGCCATGACAACGGCGGTCGACATGGAGACGGCGCGGTGTGCAGCCAGTGTGCTTCACAGCCTGTCGCATCAGAGGGAGGGGCTTATGGCCATCTTCCAATCAGGAGGGATCCCTGCTCTGGTCCGCATGCTCAGGTATTTACCTGCCATTCATCGTGACAACCAGTTTCCCATGGTCACATTTAGTCACCTGTTCAGATTTTTGGACTTGGAAATATATAATTAAAATATCTGAGGGCAACAGCAATAAGTGCTCCCCAACCATCATACACACACGCTGAAACACAGACACGCTAACTCACACACACACACCCTAAAACACACACCCTAACTCACACACACACGCTGAAACACAGACACGCTAACTCACACACACACATCCTAAAACACACACCCTAACTCACACACGCTGAAACACAGACACGCTAACTCACACACACACACACACACACCCTAAAACACACACACACACACACCCTAACTCTCACACACACACACACACCCTAACACACACACTGAGTTAATCCTTCTCACTGAGGATTAACACTTCAGTATAAATCAGACTCATAATTGATTCTGAAAAATTAATAAAAGTATTAAAACAGCTTCACAGAAATAAGTGTTTAGAGGGTGATGTTTATGTTTGTGTTGATATTTATGTTTATGTTTGTGTTTATGTTTGTGTTGATGTTGATGTTTGTGTTGATGTTGATGTTGATGTTGCTGTTGATGTTGATGTTGATGTTGATGTTGATGTTGATGTTGCTGTTGATGTTGATGTTGATGTTGATGTTTGTGTTGATGTTGATGTTGATGTTGATGTTTATGTTTGTGTTGATGTTTATGTTGATGTTGATGTTTATGTTTATGTTTATGTTTGTGTTGATGTTTGTGTTGATGTTTATGTCTATGTTTGTGTTTTTGATTGTGTTTATGTTTATGCCCCTTCTGCAGTTCTCAGGTGGAGTCGGTCTTATTTTATGCCATCACCACTCTACACAACCTCCTGCTTCACCAGGAAGGATCCAAGATGGCGGTGCGTCTGGCTGACGGCCTGCAGAGAATGGTTCCTCTCCTGAAGAAGAGTAACCCAAAGTTCCTCGCCATCACCACCGACTGTCTGCAGTTGCTGTCCTACGGGAACCAGGAGAGCAAGGTGAGGACGTCTGCATACATCCTGCTTCTGTTTACTCTCCAACACAGAACTTCACCTGCTACTTCCTGTTTTCTGGCAGCTCATCATCTTGGCCAATGCCGGTCCAGAGGGTCTGGTGTTCATCATGAGGAACTACAACTACGAGAAGCTGCTGTGGACGACGAGCCGAGTCCTAAAAGTGCTGTCAGTGTGTCCGAGCAACAAGCCAGCCATCGTGGAGGCTGGTTAGAGCACTTTGATAAATATGACATTAATAATGGATAATGATATTAAAAATACTACTCTAATCTCATAAATATAAATGAATAATGAATAACCTTAGTGATGAACGCTTAGTTTGTAAGTGCAACAAACCTTACAGGATCTCTCCTTTAATATGAAACTTCTCAATATAAAAATGATAAAGTGAAGATAATTGAATTATTTGAGCTTGACTGAAGAAGATTCAGAGATTATTCAGAACTGAAGAATTGAAAGCACAATCTTACTTTTACCACATCAGCATTGCATGTTTGAGGCCTTCCTGGTGTAGGTCTCTCTCAAAGAGGAACTTACTCAGATGAAGGTCCAGTCCGGCACCACCAGCTGTCCAGCAGATACAGCCAGGTGAAGGAGACAAGTAGAGATGATTCTCAGTTGGCCACGAGCATCTACATTGGCAGACTTGATAAAAAAGTCTCTAAGTTTAACTTCCTGTCGTTCAAAGTCAGGAGTTTAGGTTCTGCTCCAGATGCTGGTCTGTCAAACACTAAATAATCAACTAAACTTGTCTTTAAAGTAGTCTGATTGGCTCAAAAGTAATGTTCTGAAAACCACTTGTTCTTTAAATCACTCTCCTTAGTGAGTGCATGAAGAAATCACCCTGAAGTCTTGATAGAAGCTGCAGATCCATGTTTAGAGAATTTCATTGGCTACAAGAAATGTCAGTCATCGGCACAGTCACGTGTGATTGGCCGTCAGAACAGGGGGATGCACCTCATTGGCTGTTATAGGCTGTTATGATGTATCATCAAAAGTACATAAAAATAGTGGAGGTAAATTTGAATCAGTCCGTGGATCTTTATGGATGTAATGTGTAAAGGATTGATTTAAATGATTAGGAGATTTCAGTAAATCTTTAAATCGTTAAAAGACGTTTGTTTGTCGGTGGTCTGACAGATGTGTACGCTATGGCTGCTGTGGTGGTCTGACCAGCACACACTGGGTCGTCAGTGTAATGAGTCAATGAGTGAGACAAATGATGGATCAGGTCCTATCGTAGAAATAAGTTGTTATTCCAAGTCTAGAAGACAAATAGATTAACAATGTGCTTAAACTCAAATGAGTATTTGGCTCAATGAGCGCAAAAAACAAAACAAAAAATCATTCGGCTATCAGTCAACTATAAGAGAAATCTGAGCAATCAGGTTCAACTTTGTAAATCCTTATTTGGGGAAAGGCCTAGTTGTTTGTAATGCTAATGATGTAACTGTTTTTAAACCAGTACAGGTGTGATACTAAGGATGTAACTGCTTTCATACCTATGCAGGTGGGATGCAGGCTCTGGGCCAACACCTCACAGGCTCCAGTCAGCGTTTGATTCAAAACTGTCTCTGGACTCTACGCAACCTTTCAGACGCTGCAACCAAACAGGTATAAACCTCTCAGGTATAAACTACTAAGGTATAAACCAAACAGGTATAAACCACTCAGGTATAAACTACTAAAGTATAAACCAAACAGGTATAAACCTCTCAGGTATAAACTACTAAGGTATAAACCAAACAGGTATAAACCACTCAGGTATAAACCACTTAGCCACTCTCCTTATTTGGAAAAAAAATAGATTTTGAAAATGAATATACTCCCCAAATTGCTTTATTTGTTCTCGAACATTCTCTCGAATTTAAGAAAGCTGTTCTAACATTTTCTATGGAATAACAGACGGCCCAAATCAAGACTGTCGCCTCTGCTTTTACCTTATGATAGAGGGGGGCTCCAGTGTCCTAATCCTGTATACTACTATTGGGCAGCTCAACTGAGAACTATTATGTTTTACTTTACAAGAAGGAGATGGAACCCCAATCCTTAGAACAATCCCTCCCTTATATAATGCTCTCTTGAATAAACACCTGAGATTAATAATGTCGGCTCCATTGATAATTGAAGTGACAAAATACATTTTAGCTTATCATCATTTAGTCTATATAAATCCTGAATTTTCTGCAGCCCCTTATCTAGCCAGATCTTAAATCCACTACCAGCTTTACCTGGAGTAAAATGATCATTTCCCCAAATTGGACTGAAACATCCATCCAAATGTTTCCTTACATCATTTCTTTAGACTGGTTGAGTACATATATTCAGGAAGGAAAAGCACATTTTTCTAGATTTGTGTTTGTTTCAAGCAAAGCGGATGATAGCATTATCATGGAAAAATGTAAATACACCAAATATTGTTAAATGGTTAAAGGAATTGTCTTCATGTAAACCTTTAGAAAAAAAAACCCTATTCCGTCAAGGAGAAACCAGAAATACTTTTCTCCAGCTAGTCCCTTTCTGGTCTCTAACTGGTCTATAGCTAGTCTCTCTCTGGTCTCTAACTGGTCTTTAGCTAGTCTGTAACTGTTCTCTCACTGGTCTCTAACTGGTCTTTAGCTAGTCTCTAGCTAGTCACTTACTGGTCTGTAACTGGTCACTAACTGGTCTCTTTCTAGTCTGTAACTGGTCTCTCACTGGTCTTTCATTGAGCTCTAAACATTCTCTAGCTTGTCTCTAACTGGTCTCTTACTGGTCTCTCTCTGTAGGAGGGTCTAGATGGTCTGCTGCAGATCCTGGTCACCCAGTTGGGCTCTGATGATGTCAACATGTTGACGTGTGCGACCGGCATATTGTCCAACCTCACGTGTAACAACTCACGCAACAAGGTGATGGGAGGAGCGATTCCCTGAATGATATGAATTTGATGTTTGGATATAAAGTGTGTTGTTTTCACACAGTGTGTGTTGTTCTCATAGTATGTGTTTTTCTCATACAGTGTGTGTAGTTCTCATACAGTGTGTGTTGTTTTCATATAGTGTGTGTTGTGTGTGTGTTGTTGTCATACAGTGTGTCTTCATTCACTAAAAGTTAAAGTCTTGACTATCTGTTTTCTGTCAGATCTCTACAGTATATTAATTTATGAATGTTTGTATATGTATAATATAAATAAATGTCAGATCTCAGTAGGTATGTTCTCCTCATAGGATAGGATAGGATAGGATAGGATAGTACTTTATTGATCCCCAGAGGGGAAATTCGGGCGTTACAGCAGCACAGACAAGAAAGCTCAAATACACATTAAACAGAATAGATAAGATAAATAAAAATAAAAATAAAAACAGGGGGTATATACAGTACAAAATGAATGATGAATGACTGGGGGGAATTGAGAATTGAAACAGTATTTGAAGAGAATGACAAGTTAAAGTGACAAGTGATGATTAAAGTGACTTGGTATCATCAGACTCTGGTGACTCAGTTCGGTGGTGTGGAGGCTTTGATTCATGCCGTGCTACGTGCCGGAGAGAAAGAGGACGTTGCTGAACCGGCAGTATGCGCCCTACGTCACCTGACCTCCCGCCATCAGGATGCTGAGCTGGCCCAGAATGCAGTGCGGCTTCACTACGGTATCCCAGCTGTTGTCAAACTGCTGTCACAACCACACTACTGGCCTGTAGTGAAGGTGAGGGAGGTTCCTTCAGAACACCTGACAGGTGTGTCAAACAAACTGTGAATATAATGAGTTTGTATAAAATGATCACACATCTGTTTGACCTTTGACCCCCTCAGGCTACAGTTGGTCTGATCAGGAACCTTGCACTTTGTCCAGCCAATCAGTCACCACTGAGGGAGGCCGGAGCTATCCCGCGATTGGTCAACCTGCTGCTTAAAGCTCATCAGGACACACAGAGACACGCCTCCTCTGCTCAGCAAACATACCAGGTGTGATTCTCACACACACACACACACACACACACACACACACACACACACACACACACACACACACACACACACACACAGACAGACACAGACACACACAAAGACACACACACACACACACACACACACACACACACACAGACAGACACAGACACACACACACACAGACAGACAGACAAACACACACACACAAACACACACACACACACACAGCGCTTCTGGTGCTGTGTGTGTGTGTGTGGCCGCCAGTTGCAGCAGTTCCCGTTGTCCGTGTTGTTATATCGTATTTTTTGATTAGTTATTATTTGTTTTTTGAGTATTAGTTTAACCAATTGTGTGGAAATGGCTACTTTCTCTACTTACTCTTGGAACTTTTTGCGCTGTTTTTCTGTTACTTTGGACATTCTTTGTAACGGAGAGCAGCACACGGCTGAGTGAGGGCATTGTTTACACACGCAATGAGCTGATGGCGCTCTCCAAGGTGCTACTGCCCGGAGCAACGCCTGTAATTCCGGAGGAGCTGAGGAGGCGACACCGGGGCTAAGAAGAGAAAACACAAGCCTTCTGTACCAGCGGTGATTATGGGGAACGTTAGGTCTTTGGGCAATAAGACGCTTCGACGCGCTTGTCCGGCACCAGTGGGAATACCACCAGTGCAGTACTATGTGCTTCACGGAGACATGGCTGCACTCAGACATCCCAGACCACAGCGTGGTGGTACCCGGCTTTAGGACTTTTCGGGCTGACAGGGACATTATTAAGAGCGGTAAGAACAAAGGTGGAGGGATTGCACTCTATGTGAGTGAGAGATGGTGTAATCCTGGCCATGTTAGTGTGAAGGAACATCTTTGCAGCCCGGACATTGAACTATTAGCTGTTGGAATGTGCCCATATTACTTGCCCAGGGAATTCACGTGCGCCCTTGTTATAGCTGTTTACATCCCACAAAATGCTTTTGTAGCCATTACTGGGGACAAAACACTACCCACTTTTCATCAATATGTTAACTGTCCAACTAGAGAAAATAAAACACTGGACCTTCTGTATGCTAACGTTAAGGAAGCATACAGTACCACTGCCCTTCCCCCCCCTGGGCAGATCAGACCACAACCTGGTCCTACTGACACCAGAGTATATCCCCCTGGTCCAAAGGCAGCCTGTGACAACAAGGACTGTTAGGAGGTGGACACAGGAGAGCAATGAGGCACTGCAGGACTGCTTTGAGTCCACAGACTGGGATGTACTCTGCGAGCCACATGGAGAGGACATTAACAGCATGACTGACTACATCCCAGAATACATTCAATTCTGTGAAAACACTGCTTTACTGGCCTGGACTGTACGCTGTTTTCCTAACAACAAACCCTGGATCACAAGTGACCTGAAAGCCCTTCTCAACAAAAAGAAACAAGCCTTCAGGTCTGGAAACAGGGAGGATCTGACAAGGATACAGCACGATCTGAAGGAAAAGCTGAGGGAGTGCAAGGACTCATACAGGAGAAAGCTGGAGGCCAAACTCCATCAGAACAACTTGAGGGATGTGTGGACTGGAATGAGGGAAATTACTGGTTTCAAGGGGAGAGAAAGACAACATTCTGGCAGCCTGGAGAAGGCGAATGAGCTAAACCTGTTCTTCAACCGGTTTAGTTCACAGCCTTCATCTGCCTCTCCCACCTCAAACAACACCCCTGTCCTTCACACCTTCCAGCCTCCCTTTGTATTTTGTTGTCTGAGATTCTGCAACATCTCTTCAACCTGAGTCTGAGCCAGGAGAGGATACCGGTGCTGTGGAAAACGTCCTGCTTAGTCCCGGTCCCAAAAAAGACGACACCATCTTATCTCAAGGACTATTGACCAGTGGCTTTCACATCTCATGTGATGAAAGTGTTGGAGAGGCTTGTCTCGACCCACCTCAGGCCGCAGGTGAAACCATCCCTTGACCCTCTACAATTTGCCTACCAGCCACACCTGGGAGTGGACAATGCCATCATCTACCTGCTGCAGGGTGCTCACTCACATCTGGAGGGAAACAGCTGCACTGTGAGAATCACCTTTTTGGATTTCTCCAGTGCATTCAACACCATCCAGCCACAACTGCTGGAAGAGAAGCTGCAGTTGATGGGTGTGGACTCGTCCATCATCTCCTGGATTACTGACTACCTGACAGACAGACAAAAGTTTGTCCGACTTGGCAGTGCTCAGTCTGGAATGGTGGAGAGTAATACAGGAGCTCCACAGGGGACTGTGCTGTCTCCTTTCCTTTTCACCTTGTACACCTCTGACTTTCAGTACAACTCCAGGTCATGCCACTTGCAGAAGTTTTCTGATGACTCTGCGGTGGTGGGGCGTATAAGGGATGGGCAAGAGGGGGAGTACAGAGAGCTGGTGGATAACTTTGTGGAGTGGACAGGAAGAAATCATTTTGAACTTAGATAAGACCAGGGAGATTGTGATCGACTTCAGAAGGAAGAGGACAGAGCCACCACCGCTGTGCATCCTGGGAGAGGAAGTGTCTGTGGTGGAGGAGTACAAGGACCTGTGTCAGGTGACAGGTGTCAACATAGAACTGGAAGGCCAACACTCAGGCTGTGTACAAGAAGGGGATGAGCCGACTCTACTTTCTGAGGAAGCTGAGATCCTTCAACGTGTGTAGCAAAATGTTGGAGATCTTCTATCAGTCTGCTGTGGCCAGTGCACTGTTCTCTGCTGTGGTCTGCTGGGGGAGCAGCATTGGAGCTGGTGACACTAAGAGACTGGACAAACTCATTAAGAAGGCCTGCTCTCCCATATACAAGTAACAAAATCAAGGAAGCTAATTTAAAGTTCATTCATAAATTCTATCTCACCCCAATAAAGATGCATCTCAGAAGATAACTCACCGAAGTGTCCGCGATGTAAAAATAAAGATGGAACATTTTTGCACATGTTTTGGCAATGCCATGTGCTGAAGGACTTTTGGAAGTCTATTCATTCCTTAACTAAATCTGTTTTGGAAATGGAATTTGATTTAAACCCTTGTCTGTATTTATTAAATGACTCCCAGATTTTCAGTTAGATAGAAAAAAATGCAGAATATTAATAATTATAACATATTTTTCCAAGAGATGTATATTACTTTTTTGGAAAAATGAATCTTCGCCAACCTTTAAGTTGTTTTTGGATCAACTGTCACAATTCTTACCGTTAGAGAAACTAACTTTGGAAAAATGTAACCGTGGCTATATTTTTCAGGACTTTTGGCTTCCATTGATCTGTTGCTTGGAGGAATTTTCTAAAGGTTGTCAACAATGATAATGCAATGATGCTATGATGTTATGATATCTAATTATTATTATTATTATTTTTGTTTTTGTCTCATATTATTATTTTTACTATTATTATGAAGAGTATTATTAGTATTACTGTTAGGATTGTTTTTCTTGTTTTTGCTTTGTTTTTCTGTGTATGCATGTATGCAGACATGCATGTATGTATGTGTTCATGTTGGTGGAGGGAAGGGATATACTGACATTCTGTGTACAGTTTGTTGATCGTTGTATACCCATCCCAAATAAAAAGATGATAAAAAAAAAAAAAAGAAGGCCTGCTCTGTAATAGGCTGCAAGCTGGACTCTTTTGTAGTGGTGACAGAGAGGAGGACTCTTAACAAACTGTTATCCATTATGGATAATCCTGAGCACCCTCTGCACAGCCTACTGGACAAACAGCGGAGCAGCTTCTCCAACAGACTGATACAACTCCGCTGTCACAAGGACAGATACAAGAAATCTTTCTTACCGAAGGCCATAACTCTGTACAACAGCTCACCTCTTGCGAGCAGAGAACTGTCATCATGATAATATCTGTCTCTCCATACTGTAATCTGTTATGCACATGTTAAATTTACAAATTATCCCTGCACTCATGTTCACTTCGTTTGGCTGTCTACTCGCCGTTATATTGTATAGTTTCTGCTTATAATATGTCTACACTCATGCACTTTAACTTATGTCAATACTGTCCATTTACAACTCTATTTTTGCACATTTACATTTAATCTTTCATATTTAATTGACAACTATTTACGACTCTGTTTTTGCACATTTACATTTAATCTTCCAAATTGAATCTTCCTATTTAAGACAAGTAATGCTTAGTTAAATCCTGGTTGTTCACATTCTTAGTTTTGATATTTTTAGTACTTATTTACTTTGTATTTAATATTATATTATGTTTAGATTTCCTAACATTGTGTTTTTTACTCATACTGTGTGTTGGATAACATGCTGCTGTAACGCCACAATTTCCCAGTTTGGGATCAATAAAGTAACTCTATTCTATATTCTAAACACACACAGACAGACAGACACACACACAGACACAGACACTTGTTTCTTCCTCAGTTCTAAAATATTCTAATATTAAATAGCTCCCTTATTTAATCATTGTTATCTGTCTGTCCTCATCACTCTGTATCTATCTGTCTCTTTCTTCACTCATCTCTCTAACTCTCTCTCTCTCTCTCTCTCTCTGCCTGTCAATTTCAATTTATAAAGCTTTATTGGCACTAATGTTAAATGAACAATATTGCCAAAGCATCAACACAATTCAAAACAATAACAACAGTAATCAATGATGCAGCATGACTAAAAGTAATAATTATATCAGAATCAGAAATACTTTATTAATCCCAGGGGAACATTTGGTTGTTACCGTTGCTCTTAAACACAATACAGCAATAGGAATAATTTAAGAATGTAAAAATAAAAAAGCTAATAAAATAACCCATAACTCACCCATATACACCAAATAAACAGAGGAAAGTGTGTGTGTTCATAGAAGAAAATGATAAGTTGAGCAACAATTATTAACTTTACAGGTACAGATATACCAAATATTCAAATAATAAAAAAAAAACCATAAATAAAGCAGTGTGTGCTGTTAAATGACTAGATACACCTGTCAGGTGTTTTGATGGTCGGTTGTCTCTCTGTCTGTCTGTAGGATGGGGTTCGTATGGAGGAGATCGTCGAAGGTTGTACGGGAGCTCTTCATATTCTGGCAAGAGATCCGATAAACAGAGGCGAGATCTCCAGCATGCAGACCATTCCTCTGTTTGTTCAGGTACTACGACACACATGCAAAGTACAATAAAACAACCAATATATACATAAAGACTAAATGCACCCTAAAATGTAAATAATATAGCTCATTAGTTCATCCATCCATTTTGTTCCTCCTACTGGGGCCGCAGCAGGCTTAGCTAGTCGACCCAGATGTCTTTCTCCCTTGCCATAATTTCAAGTGAGCTCTGGGTCTACCTTAGGGTCTCCTCCCAGTTTAACAAATCTCCAAAGGGAGGCTACAAGGAGGATTCTAATCAGATGTCCGGACCTACTCCTTTTGGTCCGATGGAGTAGCGGCTCCCTCTAATGTCTGAGCTCTTCACTCTATCTTTAAGGCTGCTTCTATCCACAATCTTGTTAGGGTTAGGTCATGACCACAGGTGTGGGTGGTACGTAGATCGATGGTCAATCAATGCTTTGGGTTAGGGTGTAACCACACAGACAATCTCTGGGATAAACATGCAAGTAATAAAGGAAAACGCACACTGAGGTGTTGTTGCAGGAAAATCTCAAGCAGCCAAGGAGAGAGGCAGACAGAAATCAGGGTTGCAGAGGACAAACTCATAGTCAGGGACAGAAAGTTGAGGTGATTTCCGTGATAACAACAATGCAGGCAGCTGAGAGGCATGCCCTAGTGAAGCAGAGGCAGGGTGAGTGGATAAATACTGAGTGACTAAGTGAAGCCAGGTGAGAAGAGGAACACAACTGTGACAGTACTGTTAACCAGTAACCTGTACATTCAACCAGTAACCTGTAACCACTAAACTGTAGAGTCAACCAGTAACCTGTACTGTCAACCAGTAACCTCTAACCTCTAACCTGTACATTCAACCAGTAACCTGTAACCACTAAACTGTAGAGTCAACCAGTAACCTGTACTGTCAACCAGTAACCTCTAACCTCTAACCTGTAGAGTCAACCAGTAACCTGTAACCAGTAACCTGTAGACTCAACCAGTAACCTCTAACCTCTAACCTGTAGAGTCAACCTGTAACCAGTAACCTGTAGACTCAACCAGTAACTTGTAACCAGTAACTTGTAGAGTCAACCAGTAACCTGTAACCAGTAACCTGAGTGGATAAATACTGAGTGACTAAGTGAAGCCAGATGAGAAGAGGAACACAACTGTGACAGTACGGTTAACCAGGAACCTGTACATTCAACCAGTAACCTGTAACCACTAAACTGTAGAGTCAACCAGTAACATGTACTGTCAACCAGTAACCTCTAACCTGTAGAGTCAACCAGTAACCTGTAACCAGTAACCTGTAGACTCAACCAGTAACCTCCAACCTCTAACATGTACTGTCAACCAGTAACCTCTAACCTGTAGAGTCAACCAGTAACCTGTAACCAGTAACCTGTAGACTCAACCAGTAACCTCCAACCTCTAACCTGTAGAGTCAACCTGTAACCAGTAACCTGTAGACTCAACCACTAACTTGTAACCAGTAACTTGTAGAGTCAACCAGTAACCTGTAACCAGTAACCTGTAGAGTAAACCAGTAGAACCAGTAACCTCTAACCTGTAGAGTAAACCAGTAAAACCAGTAACCTCTAACCTCTAACCTGTAGAGTAAACCAGTAAAACCAGTAACCTCTAACCTGTAGAGTATACCAGTATAACCAGTAAAACCAGTAACCTGTAACCTGTGTTGTTGTGTGTCTTTACAGTTGTTGTACTCGTATGTAGAAAATGTGAAGCGTGTGTCGGCCGGCGTGCTGTGCGAGCTCGCTCTCGATAAACAGTCTGCAGAGCTGATCGACGCTGAGGGGGCGTCGGCTCCGCTCATGGAGCTGCTGCACTCCAACAACGAAGGAATTGGTACGTTGTTTATCTCAACTCAGAGCAACACTTTGGACAATATTTGATGTATTTATTTATTATATAATTATTATAATAATTAAACAAAATGTTACAAAATACAATGAAAACTTTGAATACACCAAACTGGAGGAAGAGCGCCACCTGCTGTTGGATATTATGACAAGTCCTCCAGTTGAGACTTGTTTATGATTCAATGTATTTTTAAATGTTAACACATGTTATTAACGTGTTATTAACGTGTTAACAGCACATTAACAACACGTTATTAAATTGTTTTTAACATGTTATTAACACATGTTATTTATGTGTTGTTAACGTGTTGCTTACGTGTTAAAAGTCAAGTTTTTGAACAGTTTGGCCACTTGTCCAGTTTGAGCGGGTAAGTGTCATGAGTTCTCATTAGGTGCTGAGCACTAGGGTTAAACCATTTCTGTGCTCCACCTTCCACTATTTGGAGTTTTGGACTAAGGATCAAAACGGAGCCTTTTAAAATCAAATATTTAGATTGCAGTTGTATGACTTACACAATTTTCATCAAGATTAAATTTCCCCTTTTTGCTCCACTGCTGCCCTTTTGGTAAAGCAACACATTAATGGACACCTTTATTAAACTTACGGTTTATATCATTAAAAACATGAACAGTTGTGTGGGCCAAAGTTACAGCAATGGTTCTCACTCAATGGTGGTTTAGGAAATATACCATCGTAATTCATACATTTTTATTTTGAAAACAACAAGCTATTTTATTATTATTTAAGGTTATGACCAGCAGAGAGCATACATGAATATCATATTAGATTATACTCTTAATCCTGATGTTATTAATATTTACTATTTATAGTCACTTACTGATTAGTTACTAGACATGAATGATTTTTATTGTAAATTAATTGCTTGACTCTAAAGTTCTATTACTCACCTGACCTGGATTATAAAAACTCAACTACCAGCACTTGATATGTTTATTATACTCACTCCTACCTTTAACATGTTTGACTATAGACTTTATTAATTATCTGATTCCGAGAACTATTTATTATACTGATACCGACCTGTAACATGATTTACGACTGTATTACGGCTGTAAATACTTACTGTGCTGCAACCTGCGTCTCGTTTGCAATTGTTTGCAGCAATGGGTTCGGGTTAGTATAATAATATATAATATAATATCTCTTTCTGATGAGAACAGCTTCATTTCCCTGTACCTTTACCGATACCTTTGATTTGATTGATTGTCATAATTGATTTTATTCTTGGACTGAATATTTGATCATGTTACCTGACAACACCTGTACTGTCTGTTTGACACATATTGATCTTTTATTGTATGAAAACTTGTGACCACTGATTTTTATGTATTGAAAATTCTTACTATTATATATATATATATATATATATAAATATATATAATGTATTCCTTATAAAATAAAGTATCAAGTGTATAATAACTAGTACGCCCACTGCTGGTTATAGCCCTACATTAAATTACAATTGTTAAAAAAAATGTAATGAATGTAAGCTTCTATCTAAATATAGTATTTTTATAGGCTACATGAAAATGAAAATAGAGACTAAGAAATGAGAGGATCCTAGTCCATAACTCCAAATAGTGGAAGGTAACCCGTAGAATACAGAAATGGTTTAACCCTAGTGCTCAGCAACCAATGAGAACTCATGACACTTACCCACTCAAACTGGACAAGTGGCCAAACTTTGTGTGTTATGACATGTTGTGTGTTACGACCTTTAGTGTGTACAAGTTTGTTTATAATTGATGTGATCTTGCCACCAGCCACGTACGCCGCCGCTGTGCTGTTCAGGATCTCAGAAGATAAAAGTTCAGATTACAGGAAGAGAGTCTCCGTGGAGCTCACACACTCGCTGTTCAAACACGACCCTGCAGCCTGGGACATGGTGGGTGTGTGTGTGTGTGTGTGTGTGTGTGTGTGTGCTTTAAAAGCTCTTTCTTGACAGACTTCTTAAATGTCACATCACACACACACTGTGTTAATATAATAATGGTGTATTCTTCTCTGTTGTGTGTCTCAGACTCACTCCGTTCCTCTGGAGGCTGCATATCTGACCGACGGTGAGTTTTCTGATCCACAGTTCATATTTCTAAAACATGTATTTAAAAGTGAGACTTCAAACATTTCTGTTCTTGGATACACTAATAAATCAGTTTGTTTCTGAGTTATTACTTCTTCGTTAGTCAGACCTCAGGCCATAAATATCATAAAAATGACCAAAACAGTTTGTATTAACAAAAAAAGAGGTCAAGTGATCAGAGCAGGACAAACAGAGAGGAGAGAAAGGGATAGGGAGGAGGAGAGGAGTAGGTGAGAGGGAAAGAGAGGAGGAGACGAGAAAAAGAGCAGACGAAAACAAGATTAATCCCCTTCAACAGACACACACTAACACCACACACACACACACACACACACCTTGACCTTGTCTAGTTCCTTTCTAGGTAGAGGCTGCTGGGTAAAGAGTCCATCAGTATTAACTCATCCATTCATACACATTCACACGCTGATGGTAGAGGCCGCTGTGTAAAGAGTACATCAGTATTAACTCATCCATTCATACACATTCACACACTGATGGTAGAGGCCGCTGTGTAAAGAGTCCATCAGTATTAACTCATCCATTCATACACATTCACACACTGATGGTAGAGGCCGCTGTGTAAAGAGTACATCAGTATTAACTCATCCATTCATACACATTCACACACTGATGGTAGAGGCCGCTGTGTAAAGAGTACATCATTATCAATTCATCTATTTATATGCCGCCTCTAAAGCGGAGGAAGCAACTTGTTTATGTTTGTTGCCGAAGGACACATCGGACAAGGAGCTGCATGAGCTGTGGATTGAATGCCTGACCTTCCGGTATAGAGACAACCAACTCAACCACTGAACCACAGCTGCACTTAAGACAAATGAATTCCTTTTTCAGCCTCATCTTTTCATTAATTCATTAATTTATTGATTGATGTGTTCATTTATTCATAAAGCGATCGCTCTACATTTTGTCCAGAATACTTCACAATATAGTCAATCTAGGGTACACATGAGTCCTGGAGGACCTGGAGTTAAAACTGACTTTTTGGTGGAAAACAAAACAAAATACAGTTGAACATGTTTAACTTTTGGTTACATTTAAAAATATTTAAAAGTTATAATGATGTAATTAGGTTTAATGAGGTTTATCCATTCATCCATCCATTATCCTACAATTCAATTTAATTCAATTCAATTCAAAAAACTTTATTTGTCCCCGGGGGCAATTCAAAGGCACACAGAGCAGTAAATTAACAACAACTACGCTTATCCGAGCAACGTTTTCCAGCTCCTCCTTGGGGTCTCAGTGCATTCCCAGACAAAAGGGATAGATAATCCCTCCAGTGAGCTCTGGGTCTATCGAAGGGTCTCCTCCTATTTTGATGAAGACCAGAAGACCTCCAGAGGGTGGCAACCAGGAGGCATCCTGATCAGATGCCCAAACCACCTCAACTGGCTCCTCCTCCTCTCTCTAAAAATTGGCTCAGACATCCTCAGGAGGAAACTAATTTAAACCGCTTCTATCTTAATCTTTCAGTCACTACCCACAGCTCATAACCACAGGTGAGGGATGGAATAAAGATCTACTGCTATCCTGCTCAGCTCCCTCTTCATCACAAAGGTCCGGCACAGCGTTCACAATAATGGGCAATAACGTTCTATCAGCCAGTCAATTTCGTGATCCATTATACCATGACTCGTGAACAAGCCCTTGTGATACTTAAACTCCTTCACTTCAGGGTAAGGACTCAATCCCCACCTTAAGGGAGCAATCAACTGTTTTCCTGCAGAGTACCATGGCCTCGGACTTGGAGGTGCCAACCATCCCGACCACTTCACACTTGGCTGCAAACTGCCTATATGCCTGCTGGAGGTCACAGCCTGAAGAAGCATACAGAACAACATCATCTGCAAAAGCAGAGATGAAATACTGAGCTACCCAAACCCAAGCCCCTCCTCACACCAGCTGCCCAGCTGAGATCCTGTCCATGAGCATCACAAACAGAATCGAAGACAAGGGACAGCCCAACACGCACAGGGAACGTGTCTGACTTTGTGCCAAGGATGCAGACACAGCTTCTAACTTGTTAATACAGGGACTGGATTGGTTTACAGCAACAGCCCCTGGACCCTATACTCATGAGTAACCCCCACATGACCTCCAAAGGGAAACAAGCATAGGCCTACTCCAGGTCCACAGAACACTAAGAGGTTTAAGGAGGTTTAATGAGTGCAAATGAGCTTGTTGAGGGCCAATGAGGGTTAATGAGTGTAGTTAAGATTTGATGAGGGTAATGATGGTAAATGAGGTTAAATGAGTGTTAATGAGGGTAATGATAGTAGATGAGGGTTAATGAGGGTAATGATGGTAAATAAGGTTTAATGAGTGTTAATGAGGATAATGATGGTAAATAAGGTTTAATGAGTGTTAATGAGGATAATGATGGTAAATAAGGTTTGATGAGGTTTAATGAGGGTAATGATGGTAAATAAGGTTTGATGAGGGTTAATGAGGGTAATGATGGTAAATAAGGTTTAATGAGTGTTAATGAGGGTAATGATGGTAAATGAGGTTTAATGAGGGTTAATGGGGTAATGATGGTAAATGAGGCTTAATGAGGGTAATGATGGTAAATAAGGTTTAATGAGGGTTAATGAGGGTAATGATGGTAAATAAGGTTTGATGAGGGTTAATGAGGGTAATGATGGTAAATAAGGTTTAATGAGTGTTAATGAGAGTAATGATGGTAAATAAGGTTTAATGAGGGTTAATGGGGTAATGATGGTAAATGAGGTTTAATGAGGGTTAATGGGGTAATGATGGTAAATGAGGTTTAATGAGGGTAATGATGGTAAATAAGGTTTGATGAGGGTTAATGAGGGTAATGACGGTAAGTAAGGTTTAATGAGTGTTAATGAGGGTAATGATGGTAAATAAGGTTTAATGAGGGTTAATGAGGGTAATGATGTTAAATGAGGTTTAATGAGGTTTAATGATGGTAATGATGGTAAATAAGGTTTAATGAGGGTTAATGAGGGTAATGATGGTAAATGAGGTTTAATGAGGGTAATGATGGTTTAATGAGGGTAATTAAGGTTAAATGAGGGTTAATGAGGGTAAATAAGGTTTAATGAGAGTAATGATGGGGAGAGGATGAGGTTTGCTCATGGCTCAAGCTAAAGGGAGATCATGCTTTATCAGTTAAAGCCCCTAAACAGTGGAACAGCCTCCCTTGTCCTATCAATACTGCACCCTCTGTTGACTCTTTTAAGTCCCGTCTCAAGACATATTTTTACACGTTAGCATTTGAGTCCTCTGGTTCTGAATAGACCGTTTCTTTCAGGTTACCTTTGTTGTTTTTTTTATTTTTATATATAGTTTATTCTTTATATGTATGTATATATATATATATATATATTTCTTGTGGATGTTGTGATGTCATGTTGTTTCTTTAATGCATTGTACAGCACTTTTTTAAATGTTCTTTATAAATAAATGTGACTTGACTTGACTTAATGGGATTTTCTGTATTTTTCTCAGAATTGGACGGTTCTTATCCCCCCTATGGATACTCTGACCTGCCTCTGGACACATTGCCACTCGACCCCGACATGCACGAGTCCTACATCCCTGATATGACCTTTGACCCCAGACAGGCCTACCCTGAACCACTTTAGCAGGTAAATACACACACACACACACACACTAAACTTACACGGATGTTTTTTTTTCTGTAAGTCTGAGCTAAATAAAGATGACTGTGTTTAATATTTTGTGTTTCTTATTTCAGGAGAATCAAACAGAAACGCTGAAAGAAAAGATGAAACCAGAGACTCACTGAACCAAGAAGAAGGAGACGAGGAGGTTTAAATCACACCTTTCTGATGGGAGAAAAATCCCTTTTGGAAATGAAGAACTTTGCAAACAGTTTGCTGGATCAAAAGAGGTTAACTGTTATCATATGTTTTTGTGGGGGGTTTGGGTCTGAAGTCTGGAGGCGTTGTTACACGGGTAACTTTTTCAAGCAATCAAATGGGGCAGAAAAGCCTTAAATTTTAATGTGTGAACATTTGATCTGTGATGGATTAACGATTTAAAGAAAACCAGCTGAAGTGAAACAGCATCAGTGTTCAGGTGTGACATAATGCCTGTTATTATATTAGCTGTGATAAACAGGGTCGTTCTTTTTTTAAATCTCTCACATTAGTGGATTAAAAATTCCATCGTATTAAAGTCCCTGATTATCGGATTCTTGGACTACAAAAACACAAACTAAAAACTACAGATTAGCTTCACTGCTCCTCCTCTCTGCTAACAGATGCTCGCGTGTGTTTCGGTGTGTCCCATGTGTGTTGGAACATGTTCAGGGTGTCGCTGTGCTTGTTGCATGGAACTTTATCGTGTAATCATTGACGTTTTTCACCTTCATAACTGAAAAAAGGATATCCCAGTTTTACACGCCATCCTGGATTACAGCAAACCTTGCTGGACTACAAATCCCACTGGGTTTACTGAAAAAATAATCTATCTGGTGTACAGATAAAGGACTACAACTCCTTTTGGCAACAAACTACAAATCCCTCTGTGTTCGAGTCAACCCCGGTTTGACGTCTGTGTCAGGACTGGATAGAACATCTGGAATCAGCTGGTCACACATTTATAAATAAACAGTCATAAATATATAAAGAGTCATCAATCCACATTTATATCTGTATGTTTATAAATCTACATTTATATCTGTGTGTTTATAAATCTACATTTATGTCTGTATGTTTATAAATCTACATTTATATCTGTAGATGAATCACAGTATGTTTGTAACTGTTCTATCACTGTGCTGGAAGAGAACCCTTCTGGGCTTTATTTGTTCATATAAACATGTTAATAACTGTTATTGTGGGTGTGTGTGTGGGGGGGGGTGTCACCCTAACCTTTGATGTGTGTGTGGGGGGGGTGTTTCAACCTAACCCTCGGTGTCTGAATTGAAAGTGAAACTGAGCCTCTTTTGTTTCTGCATCAAATCTTCTTCATCGTGAAAAAGCACAAAGAACGAATCAACAGACTTGAAAAAATAAACAGTTATACTTTTATTAAATCTGAACGTCATTAAATTTTATCATTTTCAAATATTTGTTTTCCTTGTTTCTGCTTACAAAAATCACAGTTCATGTCTACAAAAAGTATAATAGTTTATAATATACTGTATAAATAGTATATAATAGACTTATATTGATTTAGGTCAAAGGTCAAACAGAAGACGAAAACAAACAGCATGAAATATAACACTTACCCTCTCAGAGATAATCTTAGAGAACCCCTATAAACCTGACAAAATAAAATAAATAAAATATTCATTTATTTATATTTAACAAACATTTCATGTATGATCTGAATGTAAAAGAAAATGAAAGGGTTGAAATGTAAAGACAATCCTCATGAGTCAGTATTTCAGTAAGTCTTCATTTAGATGTTATTAAAAACGTCGTTTATTGTACTTTACTTACATTTTCAGGTGCAGTTTATCGTAGTACATACTCCTGACCAGCAGGGGGCGGCACACACCTGGGAGAGAAGACTTACAACACGCAATAAACCCAGAAGAAGAGTCAGCAAAAGAGACGTGGGGAGGGAAGTTTAAAAACGAGCCTTTATTCCGACATTAAAACCTTAAATTGTTAAATTAAAGTTAATATTTAAATCGTTTCCTGTTTGTTGAGGAGGAGAGCTCGCGCTTCTGAGTACTCGTGCGCGTGGACTTAACCAGGTGAGAGCATCTTCGTTATGTCAGCACCTGTTAGCATTAGACGCTAATGTTGAACTGAGTATTAGCAAGAAGCTAACGTTAGCTACACTGCCTGCCTGAGTTCACGTTGCTATGGTAACTGACGTTAGCGTTGACTAGTAGTTAGCTGTTGATAGCTCTTAGCTAAAATGTTAAAAGTCTGACGTCATTAATATGCTTTAAAGCCTGTGAACACCTGCACAGGTGTAAGTGATCAGAAGTTAGCTGATATGCTTTAGAGCCTCTGAACTCTCTGTTGTCTCCTGTCAGGATGCAGAGCTCCTTCCCCCTCCTCTCTCCTCCCCCCCTCTCCTCACACTGCCCCCCCTCCCCCTCTCTTCCTCCCCCTTTTCGCAATGCTCTGAACTCGACCTGTCCATCACACTCAGCCCCGCCCTGAAGATTCACCACACACACCTGAAGCCCCGCCCACTGGAAACAACTCAGCAGAGTGACCAATCACAGCCAAAGCCCTGCCTACAAGGCCAGACAGGCAGAAAGGTGCGTGCGTGCGTGCGTCTTTCTCATTGTGTGTGTGTGTGTGTGTGACTTTCTGTGACTGGTCTTCTACAGGTGCGTTATAAAGAGCCGGTGGTTGTCACGGTAACTCCAGAGCCTCACATCACAGTGAACAGGGGGACACCGCCTGAGCAGCCAATCAGAGGTCAGAGAAGGAGCAGAGGACGTCACCATGGTAACCACACTTCCCTGAGGAAAGGAATCAAAATAAAAACAAATGAGATCAAAAATCTTCTGCTCACCACTAAAATCAGCCATTTCCCATTATAGGCCTATAAAACACAGTTTCATGAGTTATTGTGCTTAGTATGATATTTTAAGAAAGAGTGAGTGTGTGGACAATAAAACATAAAGATAATAAAACATAAAGATAATAGATTACTTGTTTTCACTGACTAAATATTTATGACGTCAGTAAATAAACTGCTGGACCACGAGGCTGTCTAACAGAATACTTTTAAAATAATTTAATGTGACTTAATTTTCAGTTTCTGTAAAAATCTGTTTTATAAAAATATAAACGTTCTCAGTATGTCTGAACTTTAATATTTACAGATGCATTTGATATATTTATTACGTATTAAAGTTGTGATCTGTCAGGGCTTCTTTTCATCGTCATTAGTTAACTATTTAATATTTTTAAATATCTCTGTTGACATCATTTCAACATCTTCTTCTCTACTTTAAGAATTCTCGGAAAAGCAAGTGGAGCCTTCTCCTGCACTATCCAATCCAAATCCAGGCTGCCTTGAAAGGGCGGAGCTAAACACCACTCTGGCTCTGAAGGCGGAGCTTCAGTCCCTGCAGGTTGGCTGTTTTAATACATCATCACTGATTTGATTGACAGTTGAGAGGTCACAGTAATCTGACCTAAAGTCAGACGTCACTCTATCACCATGGTAACTGACTGAACCACAGATCGTATAACACATGGACGTTGTCTCATTGATGTCATCGTTATGAAGCTCAACGAAGGCTGTGGCCATGTTGGAAATGTCGACTCTACCTTATCTATCTCCACAGACCCAAAACTGTTATGTGAACATGAAGACAGGATTTGCAGACTGCCTCAAGTGGGCGCTCAAAGAACTGCAGTTCTGCATCAGTTTTACATTTACACTGGAGGTTTCTGCAGCGCTGAAGTCACGTTTGTTCAGTTCAAATTAACGAGTAATTTAAATGTACAGTTACAGAACGATTAGGTTCTCTTATGTTTTTATGTTCAATCCTAAAAATTGAAGGAATCCATGAAACTACATGAATTTAACTTCTATTTGGCAAAATCCCTCAGTAATTATTTATGATTTAAACGACCCCGTTACAGTTCCTGATTAAACCACTAACTCAGTCTGACTGAAGTAGAGTGTGTTTATTACCGTATTAAAGGTGCCATATTATGCTTTTTCTGGTTTTATATGCTCTTTAGGGTGTTTTCCAAGTGTCCTGTGCATGTTTAGGCACATATATTTGCAAAAATTCAAAGTCTGTTAGCTGTAGCATTAGCTGCATGTAACGCTCGGTTCTAGCCCCCCTCGAAAAGAAATTGTCAGTGTGGCGTCTTGTCAGTGTGAGATCACTGATCTAAGCCCATTGGCTCGTTGTGGCAAGCCCAGCAGCTCATGTTGCACGCCCGTTAACTTCTGTAGCACGCCCACGATATGCCGTAGCCTGCGGTAGCACAGTAGTGCTAAGGTGCTAATGTTTATGCTCCCCTCGGACGGAGCCAGTGGCTGCATTCCCAATATGGTAAAAGAGGCGGGACATTTCCAAGAAGCATGCTGAGCGACTGACCAATAACGACAGAGCGGATCGACAGACCAATCAGAGCAGACTTGGCCCACGTGGGGTCTAACAGTGTGGGCTCAACAGAGCGTAGCTGACGGACTCAGAGAGTAGAGGGAGTAGGGAGGAGCAGTACATGAAAACAGACACTTTTTTCGGACTTTAGCTATTGTGAACGTACAAAAGTAGGTACATAGATTAAATATAAGAACCCCAAAAAGGGCATAATATGGGCTCTTTAACTCTAATATAGTCATCAGTATGAAGCAGTGTGTGTTTATTACCGTATTAACCCTAATATAGACTGAAGCAGAAATACTTAACCTAGATTGGTGACAACCAGCTTCATTATACCTGAGACATGTACCTGCAGAACTCACTTACTGGTACATCCACAATTTCAGCAGAGGATCAGCATGGTTACATTTGCATTGTCCTGCAGGGGGCGGAGTTCAACACCCGGAGGGTCGTTCAGGAGACTATACAGCGATCAGAGAGAACTAAAAACCTGATCAATACTCGAGCTACTGAAGGTAACACACACACACACACACATGTGGAATTATAATAATTGTGTAATATAAGAACAGGTAGAAGCACTGGTGGTGAACTGGATGCAGAAAAGGTGTTTGATACAGTGAGATGGGATTTCTTGGATAGAGTTATTTTATTTGGACCATGTGTTATAATCACCAGACAGCTAGAATAAAGATGAATGGAAGTCTCAAAAATTGATCAGTCTCGGACGTGGATGTTGACATTTCCCTTAGTCCTCTCCTCCCTGCCATTTTCTTAGAAGTGTTGAGCCAAGGGATGAAGTAAAATCAACACATAAAATCAATCAATCATTACTTGTGAAGTGCAAATTCACAGCAAGTGTTATCTTGAGACTCTTTTCAAAAGAGCATATGAGGGAATATGCAGGCAGGATTTCTCCTTTGTGTTCCTCTTGCCCACACGCCGCTGAGGTGGAGGTCAGAGCAGGCTGTGCATGAATGAGGACGGCGGTGGTTGTGGGGACGACACAGTCTGTGGCGGGTTCATGTGATGTCTAAGACAGAAGTCTACCAAACATTGCAGATATGAGAGAGCAAAACCTCTCTGACAAATATGGAATTGATCTTAATGAAATGTCTAGGAGTACATAAGAACTAAGCAAAATAAAAGCTATCAACTATGATCCACTAATCTCCAAAATAAACTCTTTTATAGGAAGATTGAGTGTCAGTTCCTTTTGAGTATTTCCTCGAGTGGAGGTCATGCGACGTTATCTGGTGCTAACACAGAAGGACTTCATAGCTTCACTACATCAAGCTAGCAACAACATGGCATTTTGCATTTCCTGTGACTTCAAAATAAAAGCACTTCCTGTCAAATAATTTACATTAGCAATGTTTCACACACATTAGTGTAAATAACGTAAATAGTATGTTTTAACATCTCGTTATTTAACTTTTTTAACAATTCACAACACCCCATGATGAAAAGTTATCACAAGCTGCACAAATGAAAACATTATTAAATGTGTACTATCCCTCATATTCAGTGAGATGGAAGGAAATTAAAAGTAATACAAGTCATGGCCCATTCAGGCTATAGTAGGTGACAAGAACCACATAAAACATCTAAATGTGGAGATGAATCCAGGGCTAACCTGAACCCTCAACATCTGGTTTCGAATCATTTCAAAGAAAAGCTTAATAGAACAATTAAAAATAGATTCAGAAGTCGACCCAAACAGCACAGATAGCAGGTCCAAAAGTTGGGAAAGGGGACCAAGAACATACTGGGGTTCATAAATAATGAGGAAGTTAATAGTTTTAAAGAATTAATGGATCAGGAGGGTGCCTGAATTTCCCCTTGATCCCTGCTCCATACCTTTAGAGTTCACTGTTGGTGTTTTTCTTTATTCTGGAGGCTCAGTGCATCACTGCTGTGAAAGTGAGGGTGGAGATATTCATGTATGACTTCATAAACACTCACCATGTACTGTAAATGTAGGGGTCTTGTGGTCTAGGGGTCCCCCTCCTGGACACTTTGAGCATCAAACTCTTTCATTATTGTACTCTAGTGTATTTTTGTTTATTAATTGTGCTTTTATTTTTGTATTTTTTATTTTTATAAATAATGAATCTCTGCTCCTTCCTGGATGTCGACTTTCACTTTAAACTTTGTTATTCACACCTTGTCGGAAGAAGGTGAAGTTTCAGCTTTGTTTTTCTCAGAATATTAGACATTTCTTTTTTATGTTTTTTTAATCCTCTGATTTTTTTCAAACTGTCCTCAGGACTGAATCAGGTTTTCAAATGTTTGACTGTGTTTTTATGAACTTGATCTTGAAGCTGTCATGCAAATCTTTATTTGTGACGAGTTTGAAGTTGTTTTGATCTGTTTGAACGTTTTTTAATTTGAAGGTGTTTCTAAAATACCTTGGCATGCCAAAGCTTTTTATTCACACGTCACAAAGCTGTGACAAAGACGTGACGGCGCTGAATAAAAAAATGTTTTTTTAATTGGAACGTGGAAAGAAGCCTCGTGTCACTCTGAGTGACTCTCTAATGGTCACAGCTCTCTTAACCTTTGAGCGCTGAACACACATTCGGAAATCTGGGGTTAATTTATTATCATGTAACATCTCCTTTCACTTTTCTTCCTCTTTTTTTTGTTTTTGTGTTTCCTGGTGAGCTGGCTCAATTAAAAAAGCTGCCGCCGTATTGGTGTACAGCCGTAACTGTTCATCATGAAAACACCCGTCGGACTCTGACATGGGTCACTTAGCTTATAAAGTTAGGCAGCCACCTCCTAATTTTTGAATGCAGGAAAAACCCTACACACACATATAACCCTAATCCCCCCATTCCTCTCTCTCTCTCTCTCTCTCTCTCTCTCTCTCTCTCTCTCTCTATAGAAGTGAATGTGTCTCGCTCTCAGGTTCTCTTCAGCTCATTGGTCAGCGTGGATGTTCTGGAGGATCAGCTGATCAGTCAGGTGTATCAGGAGAGGCTGCCACTGGCCCTAACCCATGACAACAAGGCACAAGATGTCCCCTCCCTCTTCCCCTTAATGAGATCTCTTCTTCTTAGACAAAAGCCCCTCCCCATGGAGGAGGGACCAATCAGTGACACGCTCCGCCCACAAAGACATCCGACATGTTCAACGTTTGACCTTTACAGAAGAAGGTCACGCTGTGAGGCCACACCCTGAACAATACAAAGAAGTGTTGTGATTGGCTGGACTGTGATGTTAATTTAAATTAGTATTGATTGAATTGTTGATAATTTAGAAACTTAATTTTTCATTTTAATCACATCAAGTGATAATAAAGTGTTTTCCTCTCTCGACTTCATTATCTCTTTTTTTTTTGTTACTGTTTGAGAGGTAATAAGGTGCAGCTAATTCTTTAAAGGTTTTGTCTTGAAACAGGATGGTGTATCGGTCAGGATACAGAGTAAATGATGAGGAGTAGTTGGTCTTAAACTGCCTTGTGGTCCAGCAGTGTTTAGTCACTGATATCCAGTATTGTACATATTTATATTTAGTCTGTAACAAAAAAGGTAAACAAATTAAATCTCTAGTACAAAGATTGATTAGTAAACAAACAATAATTTCTAACATAATATATTCATTAGAATTATTAGAGTACAACAAATACTCTCCGGCAGGCGCCCTCCGGCAGGCGCCCTCCGGCAGGCGCCCTCCGGCAGGCGCCCTCCGGCAGGCGCTTCAGAAGCCTCCGGACCAGAACCAGCAGACTGAGGAACAGCTTTTTCCCCAGAGCTGTTTCTCTACTGAACTCTACCCCCTGAACTCTGAACTCTGTCTCTCTCTCTCTCTCTCTCTCTCCCTCTCTCTCTCCGCACCCTGCTGACCCCCCTTTCCCCTCCATATCACCTCACACCCATCATCCCCCCACCACTCCTCCTGGTCACACACACACATCTCTCATCCACCTGTATTATTGTATTATAGTATGTTCATATTCTTTAAATTATCTGTAAACTTGTATAACATGCTCACTGCATCTTAATCTGTATATTATTATTATAGCATGCTCACTGCATCTTATTCTGTATATTATTAGTATAGCATGCTCACTGCATCTTAATCTGTATATTATTAGTATAGCATGCTCACTGCACCTTAATCTGTATATTATTAGTATAGCATGCTCACTGCATCTTAATCTGTATATTATTAGTATAGCATGCTCACTGCATCTTAATCTGTATATTATAATCCTAACAACTCACTTATTTTGTAGCATTACTTATTTATAGCATTTATTTATATTTATTGCATCCCATTAATCCAGCCATCCAGATTTACCTAATAATTCACTTTTTTTGGCTACATCTGTAAATTTTGCAATTACTGTACATAGCACAGAATTACTGTACATAGCACAGACTCTTGCACTTTCTGCTTATTTGCACTTCTGGTGAGATGCCAAACCTCATTTCGTTACTCTATACTTGTATATGTGTAATGACAATAAAGTTGAATCTCATCTCATCTCATCTCATAAATGGCAGAAATTAGCTCTTCAGGTAAATTAACTACTCCACATAAACTTTACCGCCTAGGTTGAAAGTAACACTGGCGCCATCTGCTGGTAAACAAGGGGTGTTACAAGATGGCGACCATAAACAGACTTATTGTCAACACGTAATCAATTAAGCTCCCATCAGAAAAGGCACGGCTACAAACTGGAGCATAAAGACAATATCACGAGCATCCTTTCTCCAGTTTAGCAGTAGACTACAGGTGTAATTATCAAACGGATGAATATAAACAAACATTAACGACAACTTACGTTCCGTCATTGAGTCAACACTGGAGACTCTGTTGGATATCCATACAAGGACAGCAGGATCATAACAAAGGCAAAATTTAACATAAACTTTGTTGCAGAGTACAGCGAACTTGTAAGCTGCCGCTCTCATCTCTGACGACACACTGCGGTAAACTGTTCATGGGACGCTTACATCATCAACATGCAGCAGGAGCGTGATCAATTAACAGGAACACCATGGACGGTCTGAGCCTTTTATACAGTTACAAACGTCGGTGTTCCCATGATTATGCTTTGATTTGTGCAAATCTTTAGGGTTAGGGTTAGGGTAAGGGAGTGTGCTAAAACCGGATAAGTGTAGGGGTACCCATGTCTCTAAACTTGAATAACTTTTGTAGGGGTAGGTTAGGTAGGGTAGGGTGTGCATGACTATAAAATATGTTTAAAACCTCCTTAAAAACTACACCGCGGTGTTTTGACAAAAGCCCCCTTTTAAAATTTGGATAAAAGGGTGACCGGACCACTGCGGCGGAGCTCTATTGTCAATTTAAAGCCTCCGGTGTCCAAGGGCCTCTAATAAAACCATCTGAGGAGCGTCCAGACGACGGCCATTGCTAAATAATATATTAATAACACTTTAAAAAAATTAAAAGTAATAAATAAATAAATAAGGATCTTAAAAGTGCCCTGAAATGAAGGAGTTAAAGCCGTCTAAAAGGTCTGCATGTATAAAGTGCATAACACAATAAAATAAGTGCTTTTAAAAGACAAGTTTAAAAATGAATCTGAATAAAACACACACAAACCCATCAAAGTAAAATACATATGCCTTTGCTTGTTTTAAAACAGCTAAAACCCAACATACAAATCAGAAAGGTAAGATCTTCTTTTAAAAGAAATTATATAAATAACTATATAATTATGTTAAAAAAAAAAAAATAGCTTAGGGATAAAAGTGCAATGCACCATCACTGGACCACTCCAAGGCTTTATTAAAGGAGCTTAATAAAATTTTGGTTTTATCCCCCCCGACGGGACCCCAAGTTAAAATAAAGTTGGAATAGGAGATTTAAGAGAAGGGCCACTCCTCCCTGCATGGAAAAAAGTGCTATGGCACAGAAGTGTGCCGTTAAAAAGTGCTTTAAAATCATGTGTAATATAAGATCATAAGTTAGTGTTTATATACAATGTTAGTAAAACCTCTAAAATTAAAAACATTTTTATTTTTTATTTTTTATTTAACCTTTATTTATCCAGGAAAGTCCCATTGAGATTAAAAACCTCTTTCTCAAGGGAGTCCTGGCCAAGAGGCAGCAAAAGTTACACAGTCACACTCACAACATACAAACAGCAATTAAAATTATAAAAAACAGTTACAAGTAAAGGAGGTTGTCTCAAGTGCTCTCAGCCTGGATTTAAAAGCATTCAAAAAATCAGTTCAGTTATTTTCCAGTCTTTTTGCAGCATGTTCTATGTAGAAGGAGCAGAGTAGACGAAAGCCCCTTTTCCCAGCTCTGTGCGGGCAAATGGAACAGACAGCAACAACTGATCATTTGAACGCAAACCATATGAATCAACAGTTCTCCGTATGATTAGGTTACAGTTGTAGGAGGGCAGTAGCCCAAGCATGGCCTTGTACATAAAAGTGCACCAGTGTCCCAGCCTCCTGGTGGACAAAGAAGTTCACAATGATGGGTTTGAGAACAACATTAGTTTAGTCTTGTCAGTGTTGAGGACTAGTTTTAGCTCCAGGACTGTGTGCTGGACCACATCAAAAGCTTTCTGCAGAGACTCAACAGCTTTAGCAGGAGTTGATCCAAAACAGTAAATAATTGTGTCATCGGCATAAAAATACATGTTAGCATCTAACACATTTTTTCCCAAATCATTAATGTACATAATAAACAGGAGGGGTCCTAATATTGAACCCTGTGGACACTCACAAATTCAGAACACAGACCATCATATTTAATACACTGAGTCCTGTCACTCATAATTTGTGAACCAGGAAACTACATGATCTGACAAACCCAAACAAAGAAGCCTATGCTTTAGAACAGCATGGTCCACAGTGTCAAAAGCTTTTGACAGATCAATAAAAAGTGAAGCACAGTACTGCTTTTTATCAAGAGCAACAAGTATATCATTGATCACTTTTGTAGCCGCAGTGATGGTGTGCTGAAGCCTGATTGCAGTTTTGAGAGAAGATCATTTGAGGTTAGGAACTCTTTTAGTTGATCACACACAAGAGATTCAAGAAGAACATAAAAACACAAAATCTATAAAATCCAATACAGGGGGAGAGCCAGGTAAAAGAAAAGGATTTGTTAAGAATATAAATGAAATGAGAAAGAATAAAAAAGCCTGTAGGAGAGCGGCCCCGGGAGACCAGCAGGTCAGTATTTATAATAAATACTAAAATTTTTATTAAAAAGAAGGAAGTGGATCCACCCGAGTATTTTTCATTTAGACCGGTTGGGTCTATAGTTTTAAGTAGGTGGATCCACTTCCTCTCCGCTGCTCGTCTCTGGACAGTGGTCTAGTCCCTGTTGCTCTCCAGGCCCATGCTCTCAACATTGTGTTGGCCGTGGAGTTTAAAATGTGCATACAAGACACTGATCCCATTCCCGCTGTTCATTTTATAGTAGAGTTGTTTGATTCTTGCTGTGATGTCGTTCTTTGTCTCCCCCACATAGAGTCTGTGGCAGGCCTTGCATCTGATAGCATAAACTGCATTAATTGTACTAGGTTTCAAGGCCTGCCACGGGTTTGTGCCGACTCTGGCGTAGGGGTTAAAAATGTGGGGGAGACGGATAAAACCAATGTCCGAGCCCCGAGAGAGCTTCCCCATTCTGTTCAACTCTGTTAAGGTTTGTGAACCAGAATGTCTTTTAAATTCTTATTTCTGCGGTAAGCGGAGATTAGCTGACAGTCACCCAGCACGTCACAGCCCTCCCTCGCCCCCTCAAAGTTGTCTTAACCTCGTTAAAAACCTTTTTAAACTTTCCGAATAGGTGGTAACCATGGGGACGAGAGTAGGGCCGGACGGCCGGGCGCTCGGGTTGTTATAGCATTTGTTGAAGGTCCGGGCGACCTCCGCCTGGGCCAGTAACCCCTGGGCCACACCCCTGGGCCTCAGAGCACTAAAGAGGGTGCTGGTGGCCTCCTCCATATGCTCCGGGAAGGTGCAGATTCTGTGGAAGCGTATCAGCTGGGATTTTATCAGGTCTCTGTACATGTGCCTGGGGTGGTAGCTCATTTTATGGAGGAGTGCATTGCGGTCCGTGTCTCAAAGTGGTGTTTCTATATTGGTGTAAAGTGAATCTATGTCTATGGAGAAGAGGAATGTGTGACCTGCAGGTGTTTGATTTTACTAACAAAGTCATAGGTGTCCTTAATGTAACTGGGTTGAAGTTTGGCGAGTGGGTTGATAAAATGGTCTATGTATTCTGTTATTGTGTATGTTTCCGAGTTGCAGTCACTGACAATGGGGCGGCCGACCGGAACAACCGAGGGGACCGTCCAGGTCTCAGGAGGCTTGTGGATCTT